ACATTCGAGACAATTTGGCAACAGAAATGAAATGAAAGATCTTTATCCAATATTTCTGCATGTGGTTCGTAACGTTAGACAACTTAAATTTTCGATTAATGTCGACCAGAATGACATGAAAGATGCAGGCAGCTATATGGAAAAAATACTTTTAAAACCATTGAAAAAGCTTGAGAAACTACAATTTCATATCATGGTCCGTCGTACGTAAGTATAAAAGCTTTTTTGCTGTTTTGTTTAATAATACTAGTGAAAACGAAAGGTTTTATAAAGACTCGTTAGAGATTCACGGAGATCGAAAACCATGTTTATTCATTTTATCCGAAGTTCTACTAAAATACTGAAAGAAACTTAAACTCGGACAATATGTATGATCAGCCCATACGATTTTTGTTGAACACACAAGCCGTTTTCTTATTTTGTTAAGCAGCTGATTATGACTCTAGTCTAAAGATGTGCAACACACCGCGACCCAAAGTTTGGATACGGATTCCGTTTTTTTTCTAAATTTATAGGGAAGGTTTTAGTGGAAAACCACAAAAAAATTCAAGATTTTAGCTGAATTAAATTAAGTTTTAAAAGAGTTAGTTGAGCACGTAATGATAACTTGACAGCCGAAAAACAAAAGTTTTTAGCTGGAAACCGAAAAAGGTAAAAATTTTTAGGCGCAAATCGAGTAGTAGTACAAAACTCTCGGATACGGGAGGGAGAAAAAGACGTTTTGGGATCAGACATGGGTCGGAAAACTGTACCCGTACACATCTCTACTCTTGTCTTAGTTGAAAGTTTTTTCATTATTAAATAAAATAGTGAATATAGTTGAATTCTTTGTACAGATTATTTACTTTTATCAACGTTTCCTTGAGAAATGATATTGGTAAACGTTTTGTATATCAGAGCTGGAATAGACACCGTTTCCGTTCATTAAGAGTACGTGTGGTCGTCGAAATGCAACTTTGAATGTTGCCGTTCGATAATCTCACGACTTCAAGTCACATTATGAAAAAACCAAACACTGTGGATCTTAGCCACCTGTACAACTAATGGTATTGTGAGGTATTGTTCCTGTTAAAAGTTAAAAGAACTGTTCTTTTTTTGTGCTTTTACAAAAGCTTTCGTTTGATCTTGATTATACGGCAACCAGTCTAGGGGGTTTATTAAAAGTACTATGACCGAAAAATCGAGCAAACTCGTGTTATGAGCGCCCCTAGGAAATCTGAGTAACTTTTGATGCTCTGCATGATGCGCATGGTCAAATTTTCCCCAGCATTTACTTTTGTATAAAGTAACAAGAGAGAATGAAAGTGTCCAGTTGTAAAAGGAGAATATTACTATGAGCCCGATCCTACTCGCGTGCTCAACTTCCACATGCGAAGATGCTGCAGTTTTATTGAGAGAAGGTTCAGTTCATGCTATTTTGGTGGGAAGATCAAAGTTCAATAGCCTTTTGTTATTGTTTATACTGAGAAAGTCAAACGCCTTACTGATGGTCTTGAAAGTGAGTGAGAGAAAGCTGACTTAGACCTTTTTTTGCTCAGAACAACTTGGAATGAACGTTAAACTTAGATATAAATTGTCAATTTCAGACGCAATTTATTACCACCAAATCCGAACGACATAATTGATACATTCAAAACCGATTATTGGCTATCTCAACACAAATGGCATGTCGGTTCGTTTATTAACGAAGAGTGCTCTCATTTATATACGGTACCGTTCATGTCCACATACCTGCCTGGTGTATCATTCGAAAGTTTAGAGCATCGAACATCAAACATGCCACCTGCTAAACACGATTTTGGACATGTGCTGAGTATATCAAAGCCGACATTCATCGATCTGAAGAAACTTCGGGATGAAATTTTCAGAAATTTGAAGCATGTATACGTGACACTCAAGGGTGAGAATTATATACATCATATTGATGTTCAAAGAGAGTTTGATTCCGAAATTCGCCCGGGAATCACTATCGAGAAATATACCCACGCATGGAAGAATGTTGGTATAATGAAAGAGGCTTTGAATAATTTGCCATGGAAACTAGAATGTATTAATGCTGTCGGCTGTCATTTGGGGGATTTTTATCAAAACCTCAGGGTGAGGATTTTTTATAATGGCTTTTTCTTACACTGCTAGCTTTCATTTTTAGTCTCACTGACGATGAATTATGCCAGCTATTTTCGAATGTTGTTGAAATGCAATTGTTGAGTAATGGTTTACCCATCGAGATGATCGCCAAATATTTTCGAAATATTCGAATTATTAAGATAAACAAAATTAATCATAAATTTTTCTTTGATATTGGCTGCCTGGAATCTGCTTTACCCGAGATGAAACATCTCGTTTATTTGGATATGCGATCAGTCGTTAGTGCCATATCTATATCATTCATCAATTGTGGAAGAATCAATCAGATAATAGAGAACAGTGGACGTATCAAGAATGAATATGAAATTGACTTTCGAAGATGTTTGAGAATTTGGCTGTAGTCAGCTTGTTTGCTGACTTGCAGCGCTATGCGGATACAGGGCACTTATTTCGTATTTTATCTACTAAGTATTTCAAACAAATCTACTTTCTGATCTGATATAAGCATTTGATTCTAATTGTGAATTTGGAAGTGAAAAGTTCTGGAGTATAGGGACTAGAGATCCATTCCATAAGCATCGAAAGGTTGGGTTTATAAAAGCTTCTTTAGCATCTTCACAAAATGACATTTGTTTGTGAAAAAAGATCGATTTTCAGAAGAGCACGTAGTTCAATAGCTCAAAATGTCTTCTTTTGAATTCACTTAAGTAGACGTCTTGAAAAGAATGAGTTTAACAGTTTTTGGTCAAAATTTCTAAATGCACCTTGCAAAAATAATATACTTTATTTATTCTTGAGTCTATTGTTGATGTTGAACCCGTATGGGTTTTCGTTGGTAGCGAATCCAGAAGACGTGTGCGCATAAGTGCTCATATGCGTCTACCTATGGAGACATTTATTTCGGTATAAACAGCATCTTTTACCGAAAAGTGGAATTTATAGATTTCGCGTGATAGAGAGTTCAGTATTCAGGTTGTATTTCTCAGTTAGAATTAGACTGAGAAACCGCGTGGCCACGTAACTCTGCTAACGTAGTAAAATTTCGTAACGAAATGTTCAAGTTTTATTCTTTTTCTCATTTTTTTAATGAAGCAACTCCCAGAGCTGTGCAATATGTACAATTGTGGAGCAAGCGTTTCTAAATCATATGAAATATGTCCAGATTCTGCGTGATTTTTCATTTAGAAAATACAGAGAAAATATTAAACGCTACTTTTCCTAAATAAAGTTAGAAAAGGGTATTCCGCATTTTCTTTGTATTTCCTAAATGAAAGATCACGCAGAATCTGGACACATTTTATTTGATTTAGAAACGTTTGCTCCACAATTGTACATATTGCACAGCTCTGGGAGTTGCTTCATTAAAAAATGAGAAGAAGAATAAAACTTCAATATTTCGTTACGAAATTTCACTACGGTAGCAGAGTTACGTAGCCATGTCGTAGACATATTCTGATACAAAACTTGTGAAAAATCTGCAACACTAGTTTTCGTTCAAAATCTTGAAGTTTTTGATAAATCTGCAGAAGTTCTTTAAAGATCTGTTGAGAAACTTGAAAAATCTTTAAAGATTTTTCTCAAGATCTGTACCGCCATTGTTGAGATGAAGGTCATCAGAAGACACTCTTGGATACGGCTCGATGAGTTCTATTCAACAATGTGCATTTTAGTTTTGGACCAAGTCTGGGAATGAATCTGGAAATGTTTACTGTAAAACGGTAATTTTTCTTATTAGAAAAAAACATTTTTTAAGTTTTCTTGTAAACCGTTGTTTATTTAGGAAAAAACAAAATTTTACTTTTTAAAAGCATTTTGTGAAGCTGGTCATCTATTTAGACCAACTTGGCTCCAGTTTGGACCAAGTTTAGAAATGAATCTGGGCTTAAAATATTCGAATCTGGTGCTAACTTTACTTACGTCGATATTTAGGAATAGTAGTGTAAAGATGATCGAGACACTTGATCTACGTCAGATAAATTAATTTATTGACTGTTGTAATTGTACTACGGTGAATGACTATTATTTATTGAATAATATTTATTTTTGTCCATCACGGTTACTGTTTAAAAAAATGCGTTAGCTAAGTCTAGAGTCATAGTATAAACTCAAAATTTTCTTCATCGACTCTCGAAACTAATGTGAATATCGACTAAAATCGTGTAATCCCAGTGCCTTAGCTGTCAGAAATTGACAGTATCGTGGTTAGAACAACAGCGGTTAGGTGATAAAATGGAAGACCAAAATAGATAAGATTAAAAAGATTTTTTGACAAAAGAAATACACATGCACAGTGCTTCTTCTCAAAAATAACTTTCATATACCGATCTTTTTTCTTATCTTTACGGTAGCGATCAAAAACTGAATGGCGTAGAGAGCATGCTTCGGAAGACTATACAGTTTCTTTCCATCCATGTTTCCAAAGACCTAGCACCGGGTAGCCTTTTAGTTGCACACCTCATCCAAGTGTTCGTTCAACTTTTCTTTCTTTAAAATATGTTTTTTCTCACTCTTTCTGGAACACAAAAAGAATGTCAACAAAATAATTGCATAAGATATGTGAAATGTTCAGATGTTTTTTCTTTCTGTTCTTTTGAGAGATGAAAAAAAACCCTCAAATAGTTCTTTTTCTTTAAAGCTGATATGACACATGCTAAAACATTAAGAAATTTCCAAATACGCATTTTCTTTTGCTTTTTATGAATCTTAGAAAAAAGAAAAAATGCCTGACTCATCGCGGCAAAGATAGAATAATTTTATTATTATTATTTTTTTTGGTTACATGTGTATGGATGCGCATTTGTATAATAAATATATCATGAGAATTATCAAAGAAAAATATTTCTGCTTTTTAGCATAGGCTCATTTTAATCCTACTAACGTTATTTATTTTGATTTATTTTATTGTGGCAACAATGGCGGCTGCTCATAGTAGTGAAAAAGAAACACCGTATGCATTATTTGATCTTAAATCAGATGCTACGACACAACAACTGAAAATAGCATATCGGCAAAAAATACATGACTACAAAAAAAATTTAATAACAAAAGAAAAATTTATATTAATATGTCGCGCATACGAAACAATGGTCGATCCCGTTAAACGTAAACAATATGATGAAACAAAACAATGGACTAAACAATTGCCACTAAAAGATTGTACATTACAACAACTAGCATGTGGAGATTTAGATTCGTTAATAATACGTTTAGAAAAAGCAACAATAAAAGAAATAAATGCCAAAGATCCCAGTAGTGGTCATACACCATTGTACTGTGCATCACGTGTTGGTAATTTAGACATTGTGCAATATTTGGTAATGAATGGAGCTGATCCAGATAAATATCAACGAACAAAATCAACAGCATTACACGTAGCTTCGTTTTACGGACATTTAGATTGTGCTGAATTTCTTTTAAAATCCGGTGCTAATTATACAATTGTCAATAATTTCAATAGTACAGCCAAAGAAGAAGCATCCGACAAGAAAATTAAAAGTTTAATTTCCAAGCTAGAATTGGAAGATCCGTTTGTTCAATGCGCAGCAAATCAAATACAATGGTTTTTAGACGGAGGTTTAAAATCACATCATATCGATGGACAAAATGATTTACGTCAAACGCTATTACATGTAGCATGTAAAAAAGGGTATTTCGAATTAGTTAAATGGTTAATTGTTGAAAAACATGCAAATTTAAATATTGTTGATATACATTTACATTCACCATTGCATTTGGCTTCATCGAATGGATATGAACATATTGTACAATTTCTATTAGATCATGGTGCTGATCCACAATTGTACAATAAATGGGGTACAACGGCACAAAATGAAGCTATAAACTACCCAAATATTATTGAATTATTTGATAAAATGAAAGAACGAGATATGTATCAAATGGCAAAAGATGGTCATCTCTATTGGTTTCAATATTATTTTAATAAACAACATATTAATACAGTTGATTCAACAGGAACAAGTTTACTGTACCACGCTTGTCGTCAAGGTTATCTCGATCTTGTTAAATGGTTCATTGTTAATGGTGCCGATGTAAATCAACAGCAAACTGAAAATACCAAAAGTACACCATTGCACGTAGCTGCATTTCGTACGCATTTAGAAATTGTTGAATATTTATTGATTAATGGTGCCAATACAAATATTCGTAATACATTTGGTACAACACCCGCTGATGAACAAACAACAGACGAAATACGCAATCTTATAAATAAATAACGTGAATCGCATCGATTCACTAGGTCCATTGCCTGTAAGTCCACTGAGTGTACTCTCGGAATTATTATTCATTCTGTTGTAACTCGACCTTGCTACTACAGGATTGATGCATATTTTTCATCTTAGTTTAGAGAACCACTTGCTTTAGCTTTTCACCGGTGAGAAACATTTATCAGAATTGCTATAGTTCATCCAGACTGTAATTTGATTTGCTTTCATGTGCTATACAGACGTTCGAAATGGACGAATCTACCAGTCTTCTTACCCTTGATAACAAAACCTGATTGGGGGCAACGTTTGGCATAGTTCGTCTTATATCTTACACATTCACATTACGCGTGTTCGTTGTATTTTTACAAGTTGTACGAGTGAATAAAAATGCGGAAATTTAATAGTAATTTTTACCCACAGACAACTCAAATGACACAAATGAATGATAAACAACAACAAGACAATATAAATAAAGGAAATATAATTAAGCAAAATGGAAGGTCTTACTACGTAATGGATAACAGGAATCAACAAAATATAAGTCAAAATGGAATTAGTCAGCAGGAGGCTCCTTTTTATCAGCATTATCAAAGTCAAAATGTTCGCCTTAACCAAGTAACCAATAACCAGATGTATATTTCAAGTCAATATCAAAACGCATCATCCCTTGCTATTTGTCAACACAATTCCCCTACTACTGTATCAGAAGTAACGCCAAATGAAAATCAAATGACATCAACACCAAAACGGGAGTTAAATGTAAGTGATGAGGGTCGAAGTAAACTCAAAGCGTCGTAATCAAGGTTGTATGCAAAACAGACAAAATGGCCCTCAGCAGTATCACAATGTCGGTTTGCAAAATCAAAAATTCCAAAGAAATAATCGAATAGATAATGAAAATTCTCATTAGCACGATATGTTGGGAACCAGTTAAAACTAGGTGTGAGAAACAAGGAAAACTATTATGAGCTATGTCAACAACGGGCATGGTCATCAGTAATTCAAGGTAAACAAATTAAGGTCACAATTCCAAAAGTCATTTCAGAACAATTTACCTTAGCAGTACGGTTTACCCCTAATCAGATAAAAATCGAGCAAGTTATAGACGAAGTTAAAAAGTCTGCGCAATCGGCAGATAATTTTAGAAAAATTGTTTATCACGAAAGATCCACTACTGACTATCGCTTTACTGTTAGTGATATACAGGAATATAACGGATTGTTAACACTAGCTCGTATAGATGTTTGTAATCTAATATGACCGGTAACACAATACCTCCCATCGAATAAACTAACGTACTGTACTCGTTGCCGGGAACTCGGTCACATGAAACTTCAATGTCAATATCAACTTCCTAAAGGTAAAATATGCTTACAAGAGTCTTTTTTTTTTAGTTTGGCCTAGTTCGTCGAAACAACGCTTACACCTCCCTTCGGTCGGTGTTCGCTAAGAACTATCTACCATGCGTTATGAATACTTCTCTGATATGATGTGTCACCTTCGTAAAGTAGCTTCAGTCTATACAAGTTTTCTCCAGAGCACCCAAAGAACTCCAGAGGTTCACAAACACTTCTAAATTCCAGACAACGTCTCTGCAATTGGATTTGGTTTTATCTGACCCCCAAAGAACCCCAGAGGTCTAACAATATTTCGAAATTCTAAACAATGCTCACGCGTCCCTTCGGTCCGCGCTCGCAGCTAGGATAGGTGTTGCAGGTCCCTGATTTCAGAGAAAACGTGCGCACATCTACCCATGTGGATCTTTGTCTGTAATACTCATTATTGCTTCTGTGTATCTACGTCCGTCACGCTCCCACATGACTATATGTATGTACGTCCGTCACACTCACTGGTCAGTATATGTATGTACGTCCGTCACACTGCCACATGACTATATGTATGTACGTCCGTCACACTCACTGGTCACTATATGTATGTACGTCCGTCACACTGCCACATGACTATATGTATGTACGTCCGTCACACTCACTGGTCACTATATGTATGTACGTCCGTCACAGTCACTGGTCGCTATTTGTATGTACATCCGTCACCGTGTGTGCTTACGTCCGTCACACCTCTGTACGGACAAACACACAAACACACACACACACAAACACTTTGTACTTTTTCGTATGACCAACTTTTTTTCGTATGACCATAGACTTACAGTCAATGGAATAATTATTGCAAAAATATTGATTGTGAAAAAATATTAAAAATTATTCTATATAGAGAGAATGGTGAAAAGTTACCTGAAATACGATTAGCTATAAGTGCCAAAATTGAAAATTTAATATGGCGTTGTTTATAAATGATGTCATCTATGACAAATCTACCATATTAGGTAAGCATAATCAGGGACCTGAGTAGGTGCCGGACATTGAGGGGGGTGTAACGAAAGTTGTTTGTCTGAGATAGTGTAAACTTTATTTTAAATTTCACGTTTGAGGTGGTGTAAACTCTGTTTTTTGCATAGTTACTCAGTAATTACCTTGTTACTGTTCTTTTAAATTTTTGGGGGTGTACGCACCCCCCCCATACCCCCCCAAAATTCAGGTCTCTGAGCGTAATACGTCCTACCTTTACTACCTTTCAACGAAAAAAACCAGTTGATTAAGTTTTTAACTGACGTTAACATCTTGAAAGTTTCACTTACAAAAGCCTGCCCGTTCGGATATGAACTTGGAAGCGTAAAGGAACGTCTTTATATTTTCAAAATGTCATGTTTGCAAGAGCTGTGAAATACGGTCATGCGAAGTAATAGAATTTTATGCTACTATCGCTTTTTCTTTGAGAAAGCCTATGTATACAAACATTTCACCGATATGAACCTGCCTTCAAATTTCATCTACATGAGCTGAGATTTTGAATGCTTCACATCACATTTATGAATTAGTATGGCGGATTTTCGAAAAAATACTTCTGTTCCAAACAGATGTACGACTCTAAACAGACTTTCAATACCTTTCGCTATCACTTTTCAGAAATCCAAAAGAGAATGCCGGTATCAATATAAATACTACTGTAGAACTCTCATTTTTCACGTAAAATTTCTTAAGATTCATAAAGTGGACACGCTGAAACTCTACGATGTGGACACGCTGAAACTCTACGATGTGGACACGCTACAAAAAAACGATAACTGTTATTAATATCCGAGACGCTTCAAATCATATGCCTAGTCATTCGTGTACACTGTAGGAAATCAAACTCTGATGAATTTTGCTCAAAAGAGAGAACTGAGAACACCTTAAGTAGCATTCAACTAACGTAAGCACCTTTCGCCTGCTTTGTGAATTTTCTCAGTCATCAAATATCGATTTTTAATGAAATTTTTGCCAAGCTACTATTCAGCTTTAAATCACAAGTATCCTACAATTAGAAAAAAAATGGGAACATCAATAAACTCAAGAATTTTCCTCTCTGGAAGTGCTAAAATTGTTGCGATAGTTTTGTAGTGCAGTTAAACTCAGAAACTTCAAGACAACAGATTGATTTTCAGAGATCTTCTGAGAGAAAGAAAAGTTTATGAAAACTTTCGGCAAAAGGATGTTTAGCTAGTTTTTGAAAGTTTTGTATCTAAAAGTTGAGATAATATCCAGCGAATTAGATAATACCAACCGTCTCTCTAACCTTGAAAGGAAATTAACATGAACTTTATAGCACGAAAAATGAAGGAAAAATCTTGAGCATAGCGGTAACACCTTTGTTATCATCCAGTCACGTTATGACTTCTTGAAAAAGAAATAGTCCAGTCTGGCTAGAATTCTTATCGCTGATACTTCAGATTTTATCTAAGGTACTAAATTTTTTTCAAAAAAAGACTCTTACTTCTCGAGATATTCGAAAAATGCTGAAAATCCTCAGTGAAAAGTCAATTCTTTTGACTTCAAACACCTTCCAAAACTCAAATGTAAAACTCTTCAAAAACTTTAGAACCTGAGATAGAGCCTGAAGTGTCTATGCTAAGCATGTTTGTCTTCTATCAGTCTATGTATAAGAAAAAACTTTGAATGTACCTATAGCGAGCGGAAATTTTAAGGAACTAAAAGTATTGAGTTTCTTTAGGCCTTTGCGTAAAAACTAAAAACTCAAGAACAATTCGTAACTTTTTCAAAAAATATCATAGAATTCTGGAACTGGTCTCATTTTGTAGCCTAAACTTTCCCTCACCAAGATATGTTCGACTCAAAACCAGCAATGTTCTCGTAGAAGGAAAGAACTCTTCAGCTTTATAAATATAATCAAATATGCACTCGTCATCATTGATGACGCTAGAGACGTTATGTGTGAACAATTCATAAACGAAATACCACTAACGGAAAGATCTCAGTATCCTCGAGGTATTGTATTTTCAATTGCGGGACGATATTTAAATTTTCCTGTTAGCCAAAGCATCATGTATGCTATACAAAAGGTTCGTTTTATTCATGGTTTTCTTATTGAGCTGCCCATACATTTAACTATGCATTCATTAAATCCATCAAAATTACCACTGTCAGACGATACACGTAAATTTGAAATCGAACCACGTGGTTTTGCAGAAGTAGTGATTCAAAAACAGTTCTATGATATATTACCTAATAATGATCAAAAACAAGTATTTGATTTTTATAAATTATTATTATTTGAATTTTCACCAGATTGTATAGATCAACAATGTCGTTTTTGTGTCGAACAATTATCAACTGAACATCAGCGTTCACGTGGTTTACATTCAAGTGAATGTATGTTTCGCACATCCATATCAACTTCGTACGATAATAATCAAGTCAAATTTAAACAATTACCAACTGTTACATATCTGCCAAATAAGAGCAAACAAATCCATTTATATGTATTTAATCAAAAGTATTGGTTTACATATCCGAATTCAAATACATTACTACAAACAACGGCATGCTACGCATTTATTCGTGATATTGAAATTATACCTGATAAACTCTACTTAAATCTTGACATGTTATATAGAATTATTAATCCAACGTTAGACACACGCACATCACCTGTTAAATGCCAATTTTTGCAATTGAATGAACCTAATAAACAGATGTATCCGTTAATCGCTTATCATGGTACAAGTATAGCAGCCATAAGATCAATACTGAATGATGGTCTGGTACTTCCAGGAACAATTACGTCATCCGGTGTTTGTGTGAACCCACCATCAACTCATATTGGACGACAAGTACCAGCATTCCATACCAAAGATTATGCTGGCGCCATATTTGTAAGTCCATCCATATATTATAGTTCTGATTCAACCTATGCCGTACAGTTTTCCTACAAAGATCAACTACTGAAACCTGTTTTAGAGTGCGGTATAAAAGAAAATTCTATGAAAAAATTTCCATGTACTGTACGTAATTGGGAATCACCAAATCCAACAGATGATAAAGATAATAAGAATGAAATAGAATGGAGAATTGATGATCCATTAAATATTGAAATTTTTTCTCTTTTATTTATACCTGTAACAAGTTCAATTACTGCTGCTAGAGTTGAACGAGAAAGAAAACTGAAAATTTAACATGTTATTTTTTCTTTGTCTTTGCGTTCTTTTAATCAACATGATGAGTGCAAGTGTTAACCTGAGATATCGGGCAGAATGTGTGTAAAATAGCGGTAGCATCTCTAAAATATAATCTAACTATAGGCTGCAAAATCAACTCGTCGAGAGAAAATATGAAGGTACAACATCAACGCTATTCAAATTGCACAGAACCTGACGCAATAACTAGAAATTCCCTAAAAGGGTCTTATGACCTGCTGAAAACAGTGTTTATCTATCGGTAAGATCCAGCCGACGCCGTTTTTAAGAAGGACAAAAGAAAACGCGCTGATGCTTGCACTGATGCTTGCACTAATGTTGTCTCTGCTGGATAAGGTTGGTTTTCTTCCGTATGACAAAACCATCCGTTTACGGATAGCTGGATATAATGAGTAAAGCTGCATTCGCAGAATGGAGCATTCGTGAGAAGTATTCTTGGTGGTTACTCATGCCTGTTCTTCGAATGATGCTGTTTACAAATATCACATTCAAAGCTCTGAAAGCTATTTACTAGTCAATAATGACCTGTTAATTTGTCTCGCTAAATAGATCAATTGTAAAAGTGACCAATGGTATAACAAACATCATCATCCATCAACAACTCAACACACACAACCCCAAAATACTGAACATTTACTCTTGTTGTTTTATTGGAAAGCTGTACACACAACGATATTTGCAGAAAGAAAGTAATATAGAAACGTTGCAAGATATACTCCCGTCGGTTGTTCCTCCTCTATTTTTTCCTTCTTCTTCTGGTCTTGTTTATAGATCTGATATATGTTTACACAAAAACTTCGTTTTAGTTTCTAATTGCTTTGATTCCTTCGTCAAAGACGATCAACCGCTATATTTTCAAAAGATTATTGTTTATCAAGCTGTAAACAACACATTTAAAGCACAAAAGAACTGTTATTTGACACTTTATTCTGTAATTCTTATTGAATTTGTTTTTGGTATTAATAGTTTTTAGTTCTAAATATTTTTTAAGCATTATATCCCATTCCGGGCAATAAAGAGTTAACCTCCTATTTATGTTATTTAAAATAGCTGTCTGGTGCTTGATGCACTTTTAATCAAATATAACAGAATCCGATGTAGTTTTCCGAGCTCTTTCTAACGGTAAGGTCAATTTTCTCCATAATTTCGTCGTTTCCCCCTTAATCGTTTTTAAGACGAAATTTTGTATCTTTTATCCCGATCAGGATATTGGAGGTGCCCCCTTACTGATGAAGGATGAAGGATTCTCCGCACACAAAAACATAGCTTTTTGAAATAAAGTCCCGGTTTTTGAACCCTTCATCAGTAAGGGGGCACCTCCAATA